TTACTGCTAACTTTCTCAAAGGGTGGGGAAGAGGCTGGTGGAGGGAGAAAATTTGGAACTCAACATAAAATAATTGAATATTTAAAAAGAAAGAGTACTGCCTATATGGCAATCCCATGAAACATATAAATTGCTTTTAGTCTTGAATGGCTCCCTTCCACTGCCATAGCAGCAGTGGCAGAAAGGGCAAGAGAGGTCATTAAGAATCAGCCTTCAGACTATAAGCATTCATTTACCTCTTAGTATTCTCACTGGGTAATCTTTGTCCAACACCCAAGTTTTTAAAATTAGATAGAACAATGTAGTCCATAATAACATTTCCAAGAAATCCATGAAACACTTAGGAAAAAACCCCCCAAAACTTTAGTAACCATCTAGTTCCCCATCCCTAATTTTGCAGATGAGTAATCTGACACTAAGATTTGATTAAGGTCACAAAGCCAGTCAGTAATAGAGCAGGGTCTAGAACCCATTTCTTCTCATTTTATGGGTCAGTGGTCCTTTCACTGTATCAAACTGTTTGTTCAAAAGCATATAATAAGCACTACATAAATGTAGTGGTTATTATTATTATTATTAAAAACAAATGTATTTCTCAATAAGAGAACAACTGAATTTGAGATCTGTAATACTTTATTGAGAGGTAGCATTGTTACAGTGGCTGGACAGCCAGTCCAGCTGTGTGACCACAGGCAAGTCACATTACCACTCATTACCACGATTCCCTAGGACTAAAAGTTACAGAAACGTCTCAGTGCTGACTCAGTGGCCCCAGATGACAGATTTAATAGCAATGGAAGAGAACTGTAAAGAAGCAAATTTAGGCTTTATGTCAGGAAAACCTTTCCAACAACTAAAGCAGTCCAAAAGTGGAAGAGTCCTGCCTCAAGATGGCAGGTTCTCCCCTCCCTGGACGTCTTTAAACAGAAGCCAGATGACCACTTTTCAGCTATGTTCTAATAAGGATTCTTTTTGGGTACAGCTTGGAATGGATGCCACATGAGGTCCTTTTCAACTCTCAAATTCTTTGATTCCGAGGGAGCTTCTATATCAGGAGTATTCCACACAAAGTCACAAGTTCATTATTAATTGCTGGCCAGTAATTAATAAGCAAACTCTTCTTTTTAAAAATAGTACTTTATGTTTTCCAATTACACGTAGAGACAATTTTCATCATTCTTTTCTTTTTTCTTTTTAAGTGAGGCAATTGGGTTTAAGTGACTTGCCCAGGGTCACACAGCTAGTAAGTGTCATGTATCTGAGGCCGCATTTGAACTCAGGTCCTCCTGACTCCAAGGCCAGGGCTCTATCTACTGTACCACCTAGCTGTCCCCCCATCATTCATTTTTTGAAAGATTTCGAGTTTCAAAATTTTCTCCTTTCCTCTACTCCCCACGATGGCAAGCAGTCTGATATAGCTTATACATGTGCAATCCACATTAGTCATGTTGTGAAAGAAGAAACAGAACAAAAGGAAAAAAGCCACACAAAAAAAGAAACCCCCAAAAGTTAAAACAGTATGCTTCAATATGCATTCAGGCTCCTTTCTTTCTCTGGATGCAGATAGCATTTTCCATCATAAGTCTTTTAGAATTGTCTTGGATCATTGTATTGCTGAGAGGAGCTAAGTCAATCATAGTTGATCATTGCACAATGTTGCTGTTACTGTGTACAATCTTCTCCTGGTTCTATAAGCAAACTTTTCTAAATAATTTCAGAAAAAATGTTCAGGTATGAAAATTCTAGGCAAAATTGAGCTAGGTTTAATGTGGCCTGTTTCTATAATTGATAGTTTAACAATACTTCAACTATCCATTATTACTACCTACAACTAAACTCTTTATACCTCAGTAGACAGTCTTCAAATGTTGCTGTATTTAAAAATTTCATTAACTAAAAGCTAACATTCTGGTAATAAGCTTCTCCAAATTTAGCCAGGGTGGTCCTCAGAGGACAGGCATGTCGTCTTTGTTAGGCCTCATGCTTAAAGTCCTTCTACATGGGAGGAGAGCTTGAGTTTTGCTGACATTGCAGAGTTGTATACAGCTACCTCCTCATCAGCAAAGGAATCTATCTGAACAGGACTTTAATAGAGAACATAATTAATATTAACACAATAGTAGAACTTTATGTGTCATTTTTATTCTAGTCTAAATTGTCCATGAAATTGTCTAGTAGTCTGATTTAGAAACTCTAAAAGAAACTACCATCTTCTGAGCCAAAACCAAATTTATTTATTCATTTAAAAAAATTATAATTGGGTTTCTTGACATATAGTATCTGTGCACAGACATCATTATTAAGGAATCAGGATTCTTTATTTTGTTTTTTAATCAGATGGATGTTGAGGTCATCTTGTTCAGTGGTATCAAACTCAAGTAGAAACAGGGACCACTAAGGTGCCCCTAAACCCAGCTGCATGTTGACTAAGAAAACCATAAATTAACACACCCATGTTCTATTGCATTTTTAGTTATTTTGCTACACATTTCCCAATTACACCTTAATCTAGTTGGAGGGAGAGTTGTGGGTCTCACGTTTGACACTTTTGACCTAGTCTGTCCCCATCTTAAGGCAGGGTTGCCCCAAGAAGGGTGCTAGTAATCTATTTTAAACTTTTTAATTAAAAAGATGCTCAGAAAAGGCAATTCTAGACTTTTCTTTTCATAACACTATCCATAAGTCCTCAGTCATAATATTATTTTAGTTCATAGGTTCAGAGGTGGCATACTACACATAGCATTAGCACAAATGCCTTGCTATGTGGGTATGGAGAAATAATTTTTTATTTTGATTTAATGACTTTTGTTAATGACAATAGCCATTTTTGTGCAGTGTTTTTTACCTATATTTATAGTTACCAATTTTGTCTATTTTGTCCAGCTAACATTCCCAATTTCTGACTCCTTTCATCACAGGTCTGACTTTCTAAATTCTAATTATTCTTAGTGGCTCTCTGAAATTTCTCCAAGTTCTTCACATCTTTCAAATCGTGTATCCTTGAACAGGGCACAAACATGTTTAGAGGCCAATTACAGTGAAGCAAGAGAATGAATGAATGTCCTGGAGTTGAAATGTACAGGAACCTATTTCTACAGCCAAAAATAATCGATTTTTTTAGAACTAATTCTGATAAATATATATGTCGTTTAAGCCACAATAAACAACTTTAACTTTGCTCTATGCAAATATGTTAGAAGGTATTAAACCATACACATATATACACACACTGGCTAAAACCTGACCTTTGATTTCATTCATTACTCATATCTATGAGAGAAGACAATGTATTAACACAAATTCAAGAGTGTTTTTGCCGTACTGTAAATAGTAGTTATATAACACACACACACTCATCAACTGTCTCACTGACTCACTGGAAAATCATTGAAAAGATAATACATTATGAAAAATTGCCTTGTGAGCATTTGTGCTCCAATGCTGGAGTTGACATCCCTTAATAGCTAAAGGAAGGAAGATTCCTTACTAAGTGAGATCATCAATTAAAAGCTTAAAACATGTCCTCCTTCCATCTGGCTCTCAGAAGTCTTTGGGCCTGTGTTTGGCAGAAAACTGTCAATAGGAAATCTGCCTCCAATTTTTTTTCCTTTATTACATCAATGATGCCTTTAAGACATTCACTCTCAGGGACCCAAGAAGCTTCACCTAGAATTGCCTCTGGTCACACTTTTCCATAGGTCAATCACACTGGGTTTAAAGAAAAAAAGATCCAAGAAGACAGGACTCAAGAGGCTCTAACCTCACTTCTATTTCCCAGCAAACTTCCAATGCCACAGGCAAAAAGGCAGCAACATCAGCCCCAGGGCTTTCCAGTAGAATTGAAGATCCTGGAGGTCAGGGACCTCTTGTATTTCTATTAGCATCTCTCCAGCCCAGCAAGGGCAGTTAAAGTGAGGTTGTAATTGCTTCCACACCCAAAGCTCAGCCCCAGCCCCAGGCCACAGATCGGGGCTGGAAGGTGTGCTACAGGATAATGCAGAAGTGTCCTGAGGGCAGGGGCTGTCTTCTGGGTGGTGGTTTTTTTTTTTTTGGGAGATCTCCAATTCCTTAGTACAGACCCGGGGACCACTAAACCCAGACGCATATTGACTTAGAGAAACATATATTGATATCTATGTTCTGTTGTATTTGTATTTATTATGTTAAAGAATTCCCAATTACATTTTACTCTGGTAGGGGTTGTCTAACATGGGCTTAAGGTATACATGCTGCTTGCAGACACCGGCTTCTCCCAGAGCATCCTTAGTCCCGAAGGACCTCCTCCACCCCAGCATCCCTGCACACTGGAGAGGATCCGTGGGCAGCCAGAGCTGGGGGAAAACCCGGGGGCGCGCAAAGCTGGAGGAAAGCCCGGGGACGCGGAGGTTGGGGCTGGGGGCTCCCGGGGAAGTGCCTGGCGGGGGGTGGTCTAAGATGCCTAGAGCTGGGGGTAGGAAGCCTGGGGGGGGTCCCAAGGAAGCGCCTGGCTCGGGGTGGGGATCCCGGGGGCGCGCACAGCTGGGGGTGGTCTAAGACGTCTAGAGCTGGGGCGCGCCTGGCGGGGGTTGGGTGGGAGTGGTCCCGGATGGCCAGAGCGGGGGAAGCCCCGGGGGCGCGCACAACGGGGGATGGGGGTGGTCTAGGGCGCCCCTAGCTGGGGGAAGTCCAGGGGGCGCGAAGGGCGGGGCTCCCGGGGGCGCGCATGGCTGGAGTGGTCTGGGGCACCCGGAGCTAGGGGAAGGCCCAGGGGGCGCGTAGAGTTGGGGCGGCCCTGGGGAAGCGCTGGGCCTGGGTCCCCGGACCCGCGTGCCCTCGGGCGACGCGGGGGAAAGGATAGAGGCGCGCCGCCCTCCCCTCACACCTGTCAGCCCAGCCCGCCCCGCCCCGCCCCGCCCGGCTCCGCCCAGCCCTCTGGGGCCCCCAGCCCCGCACCCCATTCCGTGCCGACCCCGGGGCAAGCCCTCGCTCGGGCGGCGCCGCCGCCTCCATCATCCCCCTACCTCAAACACCACTTCTTCGTCAAACTCCGGTGTCATCCTTCTCCGCCATGCCACCCGCCCCGGCACGATGGGAAATGAAGTCCGTCAGCCTGGGGGGGCGGGACGTGCGGGCCCCGAGCCTGGCGCCCGAGCGGCGCCGAACTACAGCTCCCAGCGTGCCCCGCGGCTCGCGCTCCCTCGCTTCCGGCCAGCCGTGGGGCGGGGGCGGGGGCAAACGAATGATTGAAATCCTGAGATTCCCCTGGGCTGGACGTTTAGCTGTTATCGCTGCCGCCCTTAGGGGGCGCTGAGAGGGCCGGGATTCGTGGTTGGTTTTTTTTCCCTTTTCCTTTTTTTTTCGGGAGCGCGTGCCGGGGGAGCGCGCTTGCTCTTCGGAACGCCTCCCTCGGAGCCCGGCCAGCTGGAGCCCGCACGCGCCGGGGGTAGGGGGCAGGAGGGAGGAACGCACTAGCGCTCTGAGAATCTTCTCCCGGAGCTCGTCCAGGGAGGCGCTCGAGCCTTCGGAACCTTCCCCGGGAGCTCGGCTCGGGGGCGCTCGCGCGCTCCTTGTCCCTCGGCCGGCCAGGCGGCTGGCTCGGTGGCGAGCGTCGGGAGAGCCCCCGGAGCCGGCGGCTGCTTTTGTACCGGCGCTGCGGAGCTGCCGGACGTGATGCGGCGGCCGCGGACCCTGATTCCTGCACCCCCCAAACTGGAGTCAATGCATTAAAGAGGATTAAAAAGAGGGGCTCTGGGGAGGAGAGAAAAGAAAAGAAGAGACAGAGAGAGCCCGCATGGGAGGAATCATGAATTCCAGCGCCGGTAAGTGCCTGGAGATTGCGCTCGTCCCTCCGGAAAGTTTGTAACGAGCGGCGCTCGAGCTGCAGCCTGCGTCCTGCGGGCGCTCGGGGACTTGGGAAGGGTTGAGTTTCCTGCCCCTTCCCTCTCCCCAGAGCAGCCCGTGCAGGACATCTGCAAGTACTGACCTGACCGGCATTACGCTGCCAAAGAGAGTACAATGGTCTTCCTCCCCAGGCGGGGCTGTTTGCCACCCCCGGGCATCTCCTGCGTCCTGTCTGTAAAGGTTTGGGGAAGGGTGGTGGTTGGTGGTGGTGGGGTCCTCCGTGGCCCCGGGGATTAGCCTCAGTCCACTCAGAACTCTTGGGGATCGGAGTAGGGGCTCCTTTTTGAAATGGGGACCGCTTTACCCCACTGTGCGCAACCACCCCCCTAGACAGAAACCGAGTTATTCTAGGGGAGGACTGTGCGAGGCGATACGGGCGGCTCACTGCCTGCCTAGGCTGGAGTCTTGGGAAACTCGGGGATAGACCAGAAACTCTTTATCTGCAGAGCAGAGAAGTTTCGACTTTGTTTCAGAGCCGTTGTTTTCTTTCCACACCCTGTTTAACCTGGGATACTTGGCTCTGGGGTCCGGGTCAATATTTGTAGCTTTTTAACCAACTATCTTGGCTTTCTTATTAGTAACCCTCGGAACTCCTCTCAGTCAAAATAATGCAATCATTTTGGCTCCTGTAGAGCGACCTTGCATTAAAGGGATTGTACTGTCTGCTTTGTGCCCCCCGCATGTTAACTTTTTAATGACTAATTTCCTTATATTCTTAATTACTTCATTTGCAGGTACGTGGTCACCTCAAATGATCTAGGCAAAAGTTGCTGTTGGTTTTCATAAATCTTGGGCATTTTAAAAAAGGATCTCTAGAAATGAGCATAAAGAAGACTTGCAACTTAATTAGAAAATTGGGATTTTTTTGAAGTTAATTTTTTAATCGCGATTTTGATCATATACTTTACCCTCTCCAAAAAAAAAAGTTTTTATGCTTTGCCTAAGATAAGCTTTTAGTTTAGCATAAAATAGCATTTTCCAAGTGCCTTCAATTCAGCAAACATCTCTGCAGCCCCTTACTCTAGACAAAGATTTTCAAAGTCTTCATTTCTAAAGTCAACCCTCAAGTATCAGGTGAAAAGTTTCTCTGATCTTCCAGGCTTTTGTTTAAAATCACGAAATTTGAAACCATCACAGAGTCCTGTTGATTTTCCTGATATGTGTTAGCTATCTTAGAAGTAGAGATACTTTTGAATTTAGCACTGCCAGGTATAATCAGATTGTCTAGAAGAAATCTGAGTTTAGACAGTAACTTTCTTTTTTTAATTAGCTAATAGCATGCATGAAAAGTCAGCGTTTTAATATTGCTCAGTGTGTCGGTTATTCCTGTGTATCTCAGACATTTCCTCTTTGATACTTTATCAAATAGCACGCTATTGGAGCCATAGAATGTATATAGATATCCTCTTACTGACTCCTGCCTTATAGAGGACTTGGCTTTTTCCGTCATCTAGGTTGTCGTTAAGCCTTAGGTCATTAAAAAATTACTGTACCAGTAAAAATAATTTCAAAAAATAATGATTGGAAATCAAGAGATGTCCAGCCCTTTTTGGTCCTTTTTCAGCCATGCCAAATTGTAAAATATTAATGTTTTAACAGTGTTTATATTTTCATTTAGGCAGGGTAACATCAAATACACAGCAGACACAGAATTTAAACCTTAAAGATATAAAAGCTAATTTTATATGACATTCTCATTGATGGTTGCTTGGTTGAATCCCACTGAAAGATTACTGGTATTTTGTGTGTTTGTGTATGTTTTAATGTTATCAGCTTCATAAACAGAAAATCCACAAGCATTTTTGTGGTGTTGAAAACAGGAAGTCTTCCTGTGTTTAACTTAGTTATTACTCAGTTGTTTTGTATGGTGATACAGAGAGGCTTTGAGACTTCTTTTTGTTCAGCCCATCTGTTGGGTCAGGAGGCTTCCTTCATTGTGCTGAAAGGAGGAACGTGGCAGAAGGCTAGTCATCCCCCACCAAGTCATTTCTATAGAACGATTGATATATTGTGTTGACCAGCTGCTTTGTGGTGTATTTTAGAATAGCAAACAAAATTAGTTAAAACCTTTAAAAAGGTATTTCCCATATGGACAAATGAGTGGCTCACCTAGATCTGCTTATAAGTATTGTTGGGAGAGGGGATTGTTTTATTTTGGTAAGAAAATACACAGAAGCCCAGTACTGTGGTAGGTAGTTGTGACATGTTTACCAGTGGGCTGAGACACTCTTTTTGACCTGGATTTGGAATAATGTTTAGTGATGCGTTTTAAAAAAATGCAATGTATTAAAAGCAAAGGATCATCCGTGATACTGTACATGAGAGCAATTCTGTTTTATTGTTTTCTGCATTTATTTATTTAATACTGTTTGCCAGGAGCACCTGGGTTCAAAGCAATAGTAGGGGAGTTCCATGTGAGCCGCCAGCCACTGTCTCACTCAATCAAGGTACATAGCTGGCGCTTATTACATACCTGTTGATGGATTGCTTAGATCTCTGCCTCAGAATTTATTAGCTGTGTGACTATAGGCAAGTTACCTGGCCTTTCTGAGGCTCAGTTTCCTCATCTGTAAAAGGGGATTAATAATATCAATCCATGAGCCAGAATTTATTAAGCACCAGGCTAGGTCCAAGAGATAGAGAGGAAAAGGGAACAGTCCCTGCCCTCTTGTGGTTGAGTTGTTTCAGTAGTGTCTCACTCTGTGATCTCCCTTGGGGTTTTCTTGGCAGAGATACTGGAGTGGTTGGCCATTTCCTTCTCCAGCTCATTTTACAGATGAGGAAACTGAGGCAAACAGGATTGAATGACTTGCCCAGGGTCACACAGGTAATAAATGTCCAAGGTCACATTTGAACTCAGGTCTTTCTGACTCTAGGCGTGGTGCTCTATCCAATGAGCCACCTAGCTGCCTCTAGGAGCCTACATTTCAGTGATAAGAGACTACATGAATGGATGTATACACTTGGTGTATGAAAGTGAATACAATGATGTTTTGAGAGGTAGTAAGACTGAATAACTGTAACAACCCCAGTACTTAACTCAGGCTGCTTGGTAGGAGCAAATTAGATAATATTTGCAAAATGCTATGTAGTGTTGTTCAGTTGTGTCCTACTCTTTGTAGGAAAACCTCTATTTGGGGTTTTCTTGGCAAAGATACTGGAGTGGTTTGTCATTTCCTTCTCCAGCTCATTTGACAGATGAGGAAACTGAGGCAAACAGGGTTAAATGATTTGCCCAGAGCCACATAGCTAATAAGTGTCTGGGGTCACATTTGAACTCAGGACTTCCTGACTCCAGGCCTGAGCCACCTGGTATATAGCTGGGGCTTATTACATACTGGTTGATGGATTGCTTAGATCTCTGCCTCACAGCTTTATTAACTGTGTGATCGTAGGCCAGAAACATTGACAAGTCATCCTTCTGTCCAACTAAAATCATGAAACAGCTGGACACTGAGTCACCAAAGTTACCAACGTGTAGAAGCCCACCCCAGCCATCTGCAGAGCCACTCTGTAGAGTTTCTAACTAGTCCCGTTTGTACTATTTACTTATATATTTCTGGTGTCCTTAGCTTTCTACCTTATTTTCCCTTAGAGTTGAGCAGCTGAATAAATAAAGGGTTTGTAGCATCTCTTTCAGAAGATGCCATAGAACTGAATCCAGAATTTGAGGTCCCTGGGTCTGGCTGGCGTCCGGACACTGATGAATAGTTATTTCAAGTGTTTTTGACTTGAGAGCATGCACGCCATACTGTTGATGTTGTCCTTTGAGCGCTATTGCTCAGGGTTGGGAATTGGCTTCAAAGGCTCCCTCCCTGTGACTCTGTGGTTCTAAGTACTGGGGAGGAAAGCCCTGCAAATTCTGCTAATCTAGTTACTAATGGAGCCTAGCATGGTTATTAAAAAAAAAAGCCTATTTTTAAATTATGAAGGATAACCCAGTGCTATTAAAAGTAGTATTCCCTGCCAACTTTTCAAAATATTCTACTTTAGAGATGCAATTTATTTCACCTCCATTTACCCTTCCCACGGTGTAATTTTTTGTGACTTAGTTGTTTTCAGTCATGTCCAACTCCCCATGTCCCCATATAGGTTTTTTTTTTTGGCAGAGGTACTAGAGTGGCTTGCCATTTCCTTCTGCAGCTCATTTTACAGATGAGAAAACCAAGGCAAACAGGGTTAAGTGACTTGCCCAGAGTCACACAGCTAGTAAGTGTCTGAGGCCACATTTGA